CCCAGTCCTGCCTCCACCTTGCTGCATGTGTTGGCCTGGTGCACAGCTTGGAGCTGGGCTCCTTTCCACTTGGGAAGGGGGGAAGCAGGTAAGACCCAGATCTGTGGTGGTGTAAAACCAGCAAAAGGGGAGAGCGAACCTCAGTCTGGCCTGTGTACCTTGTCCAGCTCGGAGAACTCGATTCGCTCCTCTGGGGTGCAGCTCCGTCCGATGGGGGAGATGTTCAGCATCCCGTTGCGAAACTCAATGAAGGTTCCTCTGTGGGTGGGCAAGGGCACAAGTTTACTGGGGCAGGGTAAGAAAAACAGACCTTTCCAGGGGAACGGCTGCTCAGTGAGGCATGAGTCTCTGCAGGGACACGCAGCAGGAGAGAAGCCATGCCCACTCATGGGTGCTTCATGCCAGGCAGAGACCAGGCATCAACAACTCTGCTCAAGGTCTCCAAGGGGCTCATAGTTTTATAAAAAGAGACCGTAAGAGAAGAGGAACAAACAGTTCCTGTGTGGCCTAGGGACAGGCTGGAAGCAATGAGCTTAGGTGAGATGTGAGATGATAGGAAATATTTTCTAATGTTGTAATAAATGCAAGGACAGGTATTTTCTGGACTGGACCAACCGCCTGACAAGACTGTGGCATCTCCACCCCTGGAGGCTTTTAAGAAACATTGGGTGGGTTGGGTGAAGCTGGCAGTACCTTGGGCAGGGGGATGGAATAGGTCAGTGTAACTCACTGCTGATGTCTGGCAGCAGGCTGATGAGCATCAGGACTTCCTCGTGGGACACTAATCAGGACCCGCAGGGCCTTTGTATCTCCCATTTGTCCCCTGCACCTTTGACTGCCACTCTTACCTAAGCCTGCATGGGCAGGACCCAGTTCCTGCTTGCCACCCCCACCTTGCACTGGGATCACTACTCTGCCGCTTCCTCGGTGGGCTGGTTCAAAGCACTAAGCTGTCAGAAAACTGCGCCCTTCTTTTCTCTTTGCTATAAGCCCAGCCAGTTCTGTTTGCTTATCACCTTGGAACAGCTCACTGAGGGGTCAGACAGGTACCAGCACTGGTGGGGCAGAAACAACAGGGGACAGCAGCACTGCCAATCTGAAAATAGATTGAAACTCTTGTGGAAACCTGGCTGGAACAGGGACATCCCCTTGCCTGTGCAGCTGAGAAGCCCTGAGCTCATCAACCCTCTGATGTCCCTCGCAGCCCTGCCCGCTGTTTCTCTGTGATATTTCCCCCGCTCTGAGTCTGGGGGAAATACTCTCCGCCTCCTGTCTTGTAACACAGTGAAGAACATCATGGGGAACAGACGCATGGGCAGTCATGCCTGCACCCTGGGAGCAGCATCTCTGCTGCACCAAGGGTTTGGTGGCTCACACCCCAGGCCAAGACTCGGGAGATGTGGGTTAAAGTCCTTGCTTTGCTGGAAATACCATAAGCCTAAATCCACAGAGGCACTTGGGAGCTGAAACTGTTGGGCAACCAGACAGCAATGAGGCAACCAAAGAGCCTTGAGGCTTCTGGGTCCCAGCCCACACTTTCGGGGGCACGTTCAGCTGGCAGTCCTGTCGCAAGGAGCCAGCCTGGCCCTTCTCATCAGTCCTCTTATTGCCATTAACAGTGACTCACATCAAGCAACCAATCTGGATCACAGCTTAGCAACTTTTACCAGATTAATTTCAAACAGACAGGTCGCCTGCTCAGGTTCGCTGTACAAACACAAGGGGAGAGCAGGAACAAACCAGCCGGGGCGAGGGAAGGGCAGAGCCGCTGCTGTCAACAGCACTGCTGGCTCACGCTGGCTTCAAGTGTTTGTAACAAACTTTGGTCTGAGGGGTAGTTTGACACTGCACCCAGGCTGGTTTAACTGCAGGCTGCCTCTGAAAGAGGTGCTCCTGCTCTCCTCTTCCACCTTCATGCCACCTGTTCCCTCACTCTCCTTTCTGTGGTATCAGGGCAAGCCGATCCAATGGAAAACCACCCTTTCCTTTCCTGGCAGTGGCCTAGTCTTCCTTCAGAGGAGGTGCACCAACCCAACTCACCCTGTGGCTGCTGGATCTCATGGGGGGGAAGCAGACAGGAACACATGCTCAGGGGCAGAGCAGGGCCAGCCCTATTACCAGCGGTGCCAAGTGACACTGGGTTAGAAACAGTGTGAAACTGTGTGCTCAGGCACTGGACTTCCCATCTTAAGAGCCATTGTTTTTCTGATTGGAAACTCATACGACCAATGATGCCTGATGCCCTGACCAGTAACAAGCTGGTACCATTGTCCCAAATGAGATGCACGCAGTGGCTGTACCCTGATGTACACAGTGGCTGTACCCTGCTTCCCAGGGAAGAAAATCCAAGGGGCAAAAGAGCAGGCATTATGCTAAAAAATAGTGCAGACTGTCTAGAACAAAGACCCTCTTCCATTATTTGCCCACAGTAACCAGCTCGGTGTGGCAGTGATCCTACACAGGGCCTCTAGATGCTAAGGTAAAACCTGGAGTAAGACAAGCTCAGTAGCTCAGCTATTCTTAGGAGAGCTCTGGAGCTCAAATCTCCCTAGAAATCAGTGATACAACTGCCATTTGCACAGGCTTGGGCTGTTACCGTTTCTTGGGCAGCTTCAGCAGCGCCATGTAGTTGAGACAGAAGTTGATGAGATCCTGCAGCAGCTCTTCCCCCAAGTGGTCCTGAATGGCCTGCGGGAGGACAAGGGGCAGTGAGGAAGAAGCTAGACCTCCCACGAAGCCCACCCAAGAACATGACCTGGAGGAGCGGGACATTCAGATCTGGCATTTAGGGAGGAGGGGCTACCCATCTGCCTAGGGCCAGGCGCTGCTCCCCACAGCACACAGGGCACAGGGGTTGCACAGGGACAGGGAAGAAGAACTGTGGCTGCAAGGGGAGCAGGACCTACCTGCTTGGAGACCAGCTGCCCATTCTTGTATTGCACTGTGCCGTTCTCTGCGAAGACGTAGTCAAACTTATCAATGACTGATGGGGAAGGAAACAAAAGAGTAAACATGAGTACTGCCTGGGAAAAGGGGCCAAAAGGACTGGCCTCAGGACTGAGTGAACCATCCTCCTGGTGCCTTAGTACTGGGCTTTCCACATCCCCCGTGCTCTGCAAAGGGCCATTGACACTCCTCGCTCTCCACAAAGCGGGCAAGGAGATTATCTTCTGCTCCCAGGTGGGGAACTGACGCACGACGCAGGAAACGACCTGACCGAGGTCACGGGCTGAATCAGTGGCAGGACAAAGATAAGGGCTCCAAAATGTCAGGCCTTCAACCACGTGCGTGTTACTCCTCTCTCTCTCTCCTCCTCTCCCCGCTGCCAGGGTGCTGGGGAGATGCAGTTACTGGTTACCTAACTCTAGCCTCTCCTGCAACCCGGACAGACAGCACTGGCGACCCTGCAATCGGCCTCAGCCGGGAATTTCTCAGCCTCCCTCTGCTAAGGAGGCAGAGCTCGGAGCCGTGCTTGGCATCCATGCCAGAGAAGGAAAACACAGTGGAGGGAGCGGGGGCTGCCCCCTCGCCCTCCTACTCCCTCCTCTACCCCATGTCTGCGTTTGGACACGATGAGGAACCCCCTGGAGACCCCACCATGGAGCAGCAGGGAGGGAAAATTCGCAAGGGGTTCCTGCCCGCTGTGGGTGGGGGTGGCGGTGGTGGTGGTGGTGGGCGCGATGGTTTGGCGGGGGGAGCTGTCAGGG